CTCCCCCGCAGCGCCACGAATGGCGTAACTCAAGGGCGCAACCCCCGGCCCGATCCCAAGGTCAACGGCGGGGCCGTCCAGGGCCTTGACCACCGACTCGACCTACCGGACCAGTATTACGTATGGCGACCGTGCCATGCCGGGCGGGGCGGCGAGGCCTGCCCCAACGTGCCCAACCTGCCAGCCAGGCGGGGCAGCGTGGGCTCAAAGAAAGGCATGCGTGTAAGTTTTGACAGGTGGCACGGAAAAAAAGAGCACTGTGAATAAATTGTTTTAATTTGTTAGTTTCTTTCATTTTTTCCGATTATCGTAGGCCTTGACAAAATTACATTCTTATATGGTTGATGAAGGTAGATGCACTGCCGCTGCAATATTGCAGCTCTAACTGTAAGCCATGTATTGTTTTCCCCGTGGGGAAAATCATCAAGCGTTTTGGACATTTTCCAGGGGGCAGCGGCTTTCTCGGCCAGCACGTGGTGAAGCACCTGAGGGAAGACGCGGCGGTGTCCGAGGTCCGCGTCGTGGACCTGCGTCCGTTCGAGGAACGCCTGGGGTTGTCCCCGGCGGCGAGCCGCGTCCCCGTGACATGGGTGCCCGCGGACCTCACCGAGGAGGCCGACGAGGCCAAGTGCGAGGAGGCCTTCGGCGGCGCGGACCTCGTGATCCACTGCGCGGGCCTCGAGGACCGGTCGTACCCCGCGGACCTGCAGGCCCTGCACCGCCACAACGTTAAGGGTGAGTGTCCGGACACATACGAAGCTCGAGTGCATTTCTCCCGGTCGCCGCGCACTCCGCTGACACAGTCTTCTCTCCACCATGCAGCGACCGAGGCCGTGGTCTCCCTCTGCCGGCGCGCGAACGTGCCCCGCCTCGTGTCCACCTCCTCCGTGGAGGTCGTGTTCGTGCCGTACCTGCGGAACGCCCTGGGCACGGCGCTCGGCTCCTACTCCGTCATCGTCAACCAGACCGAGGCCCGCGCGGTGCCGCCGGAGGACCCGTCCGACCTGGAGCCCTTCCCCGCCTCCAAGCTGCGCGCCGAGAGGATCGTCCTGGCGGCCAACGGCAGCGCGCTCGACAACGGTGAGGACCGCGGCCGGCGCCGGTGGTGGTGGCCCCACCGACCCCTGCCGCCGCCCGCTCCTGCTGACCCCCCTTGTCTTGTCCTGTCCCCGCAGGAGGCTCGCTCCGCACCGTGGCGCTGCGCGCCCCCCCCATGTACGGCGAGGAGGACCGCCAGCTGGTCCCCGGGCTGCTGCGCCTCGCCAGGCTCTTCGAGAACACCCTGCTGCAGCTGGGCGGGCCCAGCCAGCGCCACCAGCACGCCTATGTCGGTAAGATATCCAGCAGCACCCCCGCTGGCCGCCCCGCCCCGCCACTGCTTGGCAGCGCTGTTTGGCTCGGCGAGGCGGGGATGCCGCGGAGCTGATACGATACGCGCCGCGGCCGCGCCAACCAATCGCCCATTTAAATGCACCGCCTGCCGCGCCACGCCGTTCACCTGGCGCCGCCGCGCCGCGCAGTTAGATTGGAAGTGCTGCGATCCCGAAACCCGACTGTGTTGTGTTGTCGCCCGAATTCGGTTGGCCGTCGAGTAGTCGGCCCCGCACAATCACATCCCGCCGGCCGCTGCCGCCCCGTCGGCCGCCGGGTGTCTGTCGCCCGCCCCTCGGCGCCGGCCCGGCGCGAGTGTACTACCCGGCGGGGGGCGGGGCAGTCATCGAAAACCGCAGCACGCAACGGCCGAAGTTGGGCGCTGAACTGTTTACGCGACCTGACCCGGCGACCCGGCCCGGAGCTGATGGCAGCCAACCTCACCTCACCTCACCCTGCCCCGCCCCGCCCCGTGCGTCGCGGTGCTGCATACCGAAGCACCGCTAACGGCCGACCATGTCGATGGAGAGCGCGTTTCTGTGGGGGTGCCGCCACCTGCGGCTGATATCGTGTAGCACACGGGCGGGGTGTGGTGGGGAGCGGGGTGGGACGGGGTGCGGCGGGGTTCGAGTTGCTAGGGCTCGCGGCCACACGGGGGACACGCCTCCATAAACCATCCGCAGCGACAATTAAGTCCTACGGCGCGGTGTGCAGCGGCCGCCCCGCCCCGCCCTCGCGGGGATCGAGACCCGCAGCGGGAGAGGATGCGGGCGGGGCGGCGCCGGGCCAGAGGGCTTTATCAGATCTGGGGCGGGAGCTGAGCCGACCGCACATTAAGCGCGAGGCGGGGCGGCGCAGGGCGGGGCGGCGCAGGGCGGGGCGCGGGATTTGCTCGCTCAATAATTCGGATTAGCCCGCAGCGCCGCAACGTGTTTCGCAATGAGGCGTACGTGCCTCGTCACGCCCCGGCAGCGCGCGCGTAACGGCAGCAATAAGTGTGACGGTCGTCACGCGTGTCGTGTCACCAAGTGCCCGCCCGTCACGTAAACGCCCCGTGTCTGTCCGCAGGTAACGTGGCCTGGGCGCACGTGTGCGCGGGCCACGCGCTCGCCCGGGAGGAGGCCGTGGAGGCGCAGGCCGTGGCCGGGCTGGCCGTGTTCGTGACGGACGAGAGCCCCAAGGGCGACCTGCTGCGCCTGACGCAGTTGCTGCTAACCTTCCCGGACGTGTCCGGGTCCGGGACGCCGTCGCTGGTGCGCGTCCGCGCCTCGCCGCTGCCCACCTGGGTGTCGTACCTGGCCGCCGTCGCCGCCGAGACCCTGGTGACGGCCACCTTCGGGGCGCGCCTGCCCGTCCGGCCCAGCGCCTTCATCAGCTACCTGTCGTCGTTCGTGTCGCTGAGCCGGCTGCGCGCCGAGACCCGCCTCCGCTACGCGCCCAAGTATGCCGCCGAGGACGCCATCGCCCGCAGCAGGGCGTACTACGCGCGGGCCAAGGACCTGCAGGAGGTGGACCCGCTGGACTGAGCGCCGCCGGTGTCCAACGCGGAGAGAGAACAAGTTCCTCATCGATCCTTCCCCCGGTCGAATGTTACTATTTTTAAGAACAATTATTGTAAAGAAGTGTATTTAATTATAAAGTGTTTTTGTATTGTCTCGCGGCAACTTACTGTATATATTCTTGTTGACTAATTTTAATCGTTGTTACCAATTACGTCGCGCTTATTACTGCAGAACGAAGTTAATAAAGTACGTGTTATTTCTCACATTACTTTGTATCGTTTGAATCTATATCGAAGTATTTCATCGCACATTGACATAAATTCATCTGGAATGAGTGATAGGCCTGACCCATGGCGAAATTGTACCACATTCCCTCTCCTCTATACCGAAATACCGGAAATTCGCTGTCTGCTCTCCCCACCCCCAGCCACTCCCCCAACTCCAGCCACTGCCATCTCGCGGCGGCACCACATAATTGGAAATTGGCGGCGGGATATACATCACACGATTGTTTGGCGAAAGCGAAAACTGCAGTATTTCATGGGATATTGTCGGCGAGCGAACGGGGCCGGCGGCGCATTCCTGGCGCGCCTCAGCCCCGCCACGCTAAGCCACGCCACGCCCAGCTGGGGCCGCGGCGTGAAGAGCCCTCCGGGCCTGGTGGTGGTGCTTGCAGACCTTGAAGACCTTGGAGACACACGAGCCGGCGAAAGGCTGCTCGTGCCGTCTGCGTGGCTCGAGTCATGACATGAAGAATCTGGCGCTGAATGCGTCTCCGCGTCCATAGGCATCGGCCACCTCCACCACGATTTGTTTTGCTCATCGTACTAGCTTACGCTTACATATCTGATATTTTTATCGCTACATTCATCATCATCATCATCAGCGAAATTCGGCATGGAGTTCTTCGAGACCATTTTCGAAAGTTCGCTATCGGGGAAGACATGGAAGTAAACAAGCTTAGTCCATGATGGTTCACGATGAACAGTTAGCGGGGTATGGAGTATTCCAGCGCTAAGCCGGCGCAAGCCCGCCACCCACCCCCCACACCCACACCCGCCCGCGCTTCATCGCAACACATCGGCTGACAACAATGGGCGAAATCAGAGGGGCCGTTAGTCGCCCGTACACGCTGCCCTACTGAGCTCATAAGTAGTCGAGAAAGACAGGAGGGAGGGCGGAGGCGAGGTTACATTCCTTGGGCAAGGCTGTGTGGGGAACAGGGGCAGGAGGACCTCCAGGACCTCTAGGGCCTAATGGGGTAGGAGAGAGGGGTGGGGGTGGGGGGAGAGAGCGGTAGGGGGAGCTTTTGTGTTTTAGGGGGCCATTCCGTGCGCGTGCGTGAAACTTGTGTTCAACTTGTTTGAGCTCCTACGTCCGAAGCCCCGCGCATTGCGCGCCCCACCTCCACTTCAGGCCAAGCCGCAACGCGCGACCCTGGAGTGTTTGGTGGTCGTGGATAATATGGGGTCGGGCTTCATGAATTAGATCACTTACGTACCTGCTTCAGTTTGGCTGCCGTGATAACATTATTGCTGCGAACAATCAACTTATATCCTATCCTAGAAAAAAATAAAAACTCGAACGCAGAGTTGTGTCGTTTGTCCGACCTCTTTTTGTCCCCCCACTTCAACTTCAATGAGTGTTACGGTAAGACGTCAGTTCACATAAACTTGAATCACCGTCTATAAAATAGGGCCGTGCCGTGACCGGCCGTGGCAGCATCGCGTCAAAGAAAAGACGTCCCTGTTTGTAGCTACACGATTGTAGCTACAGCCGACAGTGCCCGAGTTAGCTTAAACTGAACCGTCTATAGACGAATTCATTACTTCCACCAATCCTAGAATATCAATCAGAAGTAAACAGCGCTAAGACCTAAAGCGAAAACGAAATATATCGATGCCTCTCCGAAGCTCTCTCCTAGTCCAAGCACTCGGGGGCAGGGAGCCGCGGCGCGGGGTCCCGATTCAGGGAAGCATTGCCTACCCTCCAGGCGTTTTCAGCGACAATCATCGACCCACACCTAGATTGACACGGCGTCACTTCTTAGCTTTTGAAAGGATTTTCGAGCCCGAGGTCAAAAGGAGCCTAAACCCGAAGTCCCCGTCACGACAGGCGCCTTAGAGAGAAGCCGTGGCCTACCTCGCAGGCGTCCAAGCGACAACTCGTGTCGCGGCTACAAGTGGTAGTAGAAGACACGTTCATGTTCATGGACACAAAAATGTGGTCACAAATGTGACAACATACGATGTCCGACGCCACCAGCCACACGCCCCTTTCGTAGTTCAACAGTTGTAGCTACAGTCGACGTCGACATGACCGCATGCAGCTTCATCCGAACCAAAATTGTCAACCCTAAGATCAACTCCCGGCCGGGGCAAATTTTTTCTTTGTCGCCTTTTGTCTCCCGTTTGGCAGGACCGAGCTCAGATCTCGGCCCCGGAGGAGCCAGCTGGTAGCCGAGCGTGTTAAAGCGTAATCGTTGGGAGATCGTGGGGAAGGTCGGTAGTTCGAATCCCGTCCGCGATCATTTTTCCTGCTCTGCTGGCCAAGTGTCTTCGGGTGTCAGTCACAGCTGAGATGTGGATTCCACCGAAAGTTGTACTCTGTATCGTTCCGTCGTGGCCAAGTCGGTAGCGTCCGGGCCTAGTATGAACCTGGTTGCTGGTTCGAATCTCGGCCGGGTGATATTTTTCGCGCTCGGCTGGCCATGACTTTACAGCCGTGCGACACACCTGATGTGATGGGCCGGTACGCAAACAGTCGCTGGTTCGAATCTAGTCGACGGAACCCTTTTGCCCTTCTGCCAGCCATATGTTTCGGGGTGTGAGCCACATCGGAGATAAGCTTCACTTGTGTCAAAGCCTCATCATTGGCTCAGTTGATAGAGCGCGCGCCCGGGACGCGGTTAGTTGTTGGTTCGAATACTGACCGAGGCTCATTTTTCCGATTTAGTAGTTTGCGGCGCAGGGACCAAGGGCTAGGCCAGAAGACCAGCCGACACGGTGAGGTGGACTTGACTTTCTACTCAGCAGCCCTCCCCCCTTGCAAAAAAGAATTGTTCGCCCCGACCAGGACTCGACCCCTGGGCTGAGAGTGTCTTGAGCACCACGCGCCAGCGCGGTCGCCACTCGGCTGTCGTAAAGCGGGACCGAGTTCTGACCTCTCTACGGAGAGGAGCAGCTGACAGCCGAGTGGCGAGCGCGCTGGTGTCTGGTCCGGACACCGTCAGCCTGGGGATCGAATCCCCTCGATTTATTTAAGTTTTTCTTTAAGAAAATTGACACTCCT